ACAATATATTTCTGCATATTCATTTGACATCCAACCTCCCAATGACTGTCTTGCTTGGGACACTTATGAGATCCTGAAATATGATATAATTCTTCAAATAATAGAGTGAATGTACATATCTGTCCCATTTAGATTGATGAGTAACTTTTTTTTTTTCCTGTGGGCTATGGAGAAGCAAGACTGTAATCTCACTGGCATGAATTATTTAATATCCATTTGGAGGGTCTGAATGATGCATCCCAAAAATGATCACCACAGAGTTAGACTACACTGAAATGGGTTCACAGTATTTCTAACTCTATGTATTATAAAATGAGAATGCCTTTAGGCATTTAAAATGATTTACAAGCCACAGCTATTTACATGGAGTACAAAATATAACCCCTTTGAAAATGAGGTCTTATTGTCAAATCCTAATCCTTTTACCCACTTAAACAGTGTTTTTAAATTGGCAACAAACATTACTACAGCACAAAACATTTGGGAAGTCATGCAGTTCTTATCAAGTCCCAAAGTATTAGTGTTTTGTACTAAAACCAATTATTTGCATTTTGTTAAGCCTAGGTTTCACAGTATCTCATTATTTATGTGACAACTAACAGAGACCAGTGTTCCTGCTACTGATTAACAGGAAGAAAAAGTATGAACACTATTAAGTCCAGGAAAGTACAACTTTTTACATAATCAAGAAATAGTTTGACTACATCGTTTACTTACAAATGCAACCATTCCATGCTCAAAAATTGTTTATATTGAAAACTAGTTTTAAAAATATAAGCTCTAGAGGAAAAAAGCATCCAAAATGTTCAGTATGTTCAGAGTTGGGTGTGGGGACAGGTTCCCTCTGTTAATATAGTATTTTCTTTGCTGGGCCCATTGTAATGGAATACAATCTTAAGCTGTTTTCTGAAATTTATTATCAGTAAAAGTAGTTCACTGAATATTGAGGCTGAGCCTGTGGTCAGGGAAATTCAGTCTTTAAATTTAGTCATTTCACCTGAGATGTTGGAGAGTTTGCCTTTATCTGTGCTGATGAGAAAATGTGGAAGAAGTTGTAATGAAGTATTTTCTGGTTGATGAGTATGGAAGTCTGGAGTAAGTGAAATCTTTGGAGAAACACAGCTACCACAGCTATGTTCAATAGTTTCTTGATTATTTTTATTAAATCTTGTAATTCTATATTTTTGAGGTACTGAGATGTTTGGAACTGCTGATGCCATTCCAATTGCAGTCTTGCCACTTATATAATTCGTGCTATGTAATTTTAGCTTTAAATATTTGATTATTGTGAAGTTCTCTTATCAAATGAGAGCATACCTGCTTGATTTTTACCTTTCTTAAAAAAGCCATTAAAATTCCTAGCAGTTTGTCCTGGGTGTTGGCAACAGGTACATCTGAGTTAATGAGGCATATGACTTCAATTTAGGTATAGGAAGGATAAATGTAATTCAGAATTGTATAACAAGCATCAGGAATCAGAGAGAGACTGTCAGTAGATAAATGTAGAAAAAGTCCAGGATACAAAATTAAATTTAGACTATATAATTTTTTACTACCTTGCCTTTGTATTTATTACCAGTTTGATGTAAATTTTGCATCTAAAATTTTGTTTAGTCCTGTGAAGTCGCATTTATTATATAGGCCTTTCACTGATAGTCATATTTCTTTAAAAAACGATAATTATTTAAAAGAATATAAATGCTGCTTAACAGAAACCAAAGCCCAGAACAAGAAATACAGGTTTGTGCTTGTCTCATGTTTTCTAGCTATAAAATAAATAAAAAATGTCAATTTGCAAAGCAGTACAATATATAACAATATATTTAAATTTTTCACACCAGTATAGGTATTTCTCCATGCTTTGTTTTATAACTGCTGTATTATAGTTTCCCAGTTTTGTTAGGAAGTCACTATGAAAAGGTAAAATTTACTTAACAGTTTTTTGAAAAGTAAAACTGGAGTTTTATGTCTGGCAGCTTGTGTTGTGTAGTTAGATTTTTTTCTTGGTTCAGTGGAAATCTGAATATGTCAGAACTGGGTCTTGGCTAATCTCAATTTGACCTGGCCTTTTAAAAGCATTGTTCTTGTCACCATTTTCAGTTGCCTCTTCCCCCTGGCTGAAAAAGGTCTTCTCTGTCCTGCAGGAACCTGCAGGCTTGTTCAAAGAGCAATTATTTTTAAACCACATGGTTATCTAACAGGCAAATTTTCCTTGTGAAAATACAATGTTATCTTCCTGCACAGTCTAAGAAACACTTTAGTCTTGGAATTTCCAGGTGCAGTGCTTTTGTGTAAGAAAACACAGGTGGTTTTGTGCTGGGGGAATTTCAAGTGGCTGATGGTGATCCTTGGGAGCTGTGGTGATGTAGTCGAGAATCACCTGTACTGTCAGGAATATCAGAAGATTTAAGATGATGCAAAATTCTTTGTCCCTGATGACTAAATAAACACTAATTCTTGGGGAAATTTATTTCCCTAGTGACAAGACGGTCCTCTCAACGGAATATGTGTGTGTGCAAGGAACATCTTACATTTTACTGTGGTAATAATGAAAAACCCAACTAGGGAAAATTTCTGAGAGTTAAATGCATTTTATCTTTGACTGATTTTGCAGAGGTACAGAACAATTTCACTAGAAGTCTTCATGTTACACTTAGGGGTCAATAAGTAATGTTCAGGTGTTTTCAGTAAAGCTGCATACATATCTAAATGACTGGTACTTGTTTCTAGGTGGAAAGTGAACTATCGAAGTGGCCAATAAATTATTTTTTTTATATAGTAGGCTTTTGTTTATACCAGGATCTTAACATCATAGCAGAAGGCACCTATGAATGCTTAGTTCTAATTAGTGGTAGAATAAGGTCTGCAATGAAGTAACACTTGATTATACTTTAGATGTGTCAGATCTATTTTAGAACATTAGCCCAAATTAAATGTATTTAATGGGCCATATGGTACTCTTCATTTTCTTGAATTTGTAATATAAACCTGTAACATGATGCTAAAACCCAAAATGAACTCCAGAGAAATAAAATTATTCAATTATGAATAGCATGTGCATCCTTGCACTGACACGAAGCACTCCATGATTACTGGCTAACCAGTGGCTTGATTGAAGCCCAGCCTGAGCAGCTGAGTGCTCTAAATAGTGCCTAGTGTGTGTTTTTACTGTTAGGCTCACTAGCTGAAGAAATGTAGTTTGGCTACTCTATACCATAGAGAGTTAGCTGCATGTAGCTGGCAATTTATTCTAGAAGCATTCTTAATGCTTTTTGAATAATCAAATTATTCAAATATTGGATTGAAATTGAATGTGCTAAGGTGTTTTCTGAGGGGCAGAATGCTGGTTGCATGTCAGACTTGGGTTTCTGAAAAGGATGACATCTCTTGCTTCAGTTCCTGGTGTGCTCTTCAGTTCCTGGGTTGGTGTATGTTCAGAATTAACCATCAAAAGCTGTATTTCACATAATTCAGTAAGATTTAAAGGAAGAACAGGCTATTCATCATTTATGAAACTTGGCCAGCTGTGTTGGGCAGTATGAGGAAGTGAGGAGAGACTTATTCAAGCTGCACTATACTGCATTGAACACTTAAAATTCCTGAAAGGAGCAGTGGATCTTCTATACATTTATATCCATAAAATTCTAAGCATGGCTTTTTGGGTGGATGTGTCCTATGCAGTGGTTTTGAGTGGGAAAGATTGTAGAAGATACGGGTATGGTTATTTAAAAACATCTTTGGAAATGAGTTTATGGTTTGGGCTTCTGCTGTTTCTGTCGTAACTTTTTGGATGGACCTTGCACAACTGTGAATTTATGTAAGAATGGCAGGAGCAGAAACGTTTAACAAAAAAAAAGGGAGTGATATAACCATCTTTCAAAAATACTTATGAAATAGAAGCTATTTCTTGAAGGTATTTAAAAATAATTTTCTGTGAGAATCTGCAGCCCTTATTTAGACTGGGTAATATGCAATTGCATTCTTCATAGCACTGAAATGAAACTGTGAAGCAATAATTAATGCTAATTTTAAGATGGAAAAATACTATGATTTGTCTCTGTCTAACCCTTAAAACATTTTCCTGACAACCTCAGGACTTTAATGTACAGAATTTGCTGTACTAATGTTAAAGGAGAACTAATCTTACACTGTTCTGGGAGCAAGCAAGTAATTTAGTAGGTAGATATGAGGAAGTTGTTATATTATATAAACTGTTACCTAAATGCAAATAATCCCAGTACTTCAACTTCCTAACATTCTTGAAAAGCTAACAAGCTAAGTAGCTTATTTGCTATAATTGATGTTGAAAGCCTTTGTGCCTACTGTTTATTAAGTGTTTAATTACCTGATATATTTGAAAGCTACACTAGTATCTAGCACTCAGTCTGGCGCTTATTTTCCAGTTCTCATCTTACATTTATTACAATTCTGTTGCTAAGATTTCACCATTAAATACTTAACAAGAAAGAAATACAAAGATGTCACTGGCAAGAATTGTTTTAAGCAACTTACCCAGGAAATGTGTACTATATATCTTTAACCATTTAATTATGTTTTTCTCTTAAGTCCTACTCTGCAATTGCAGCAAATTCTTTACATTGTCAGCATTTCAGAGACCATAGATACCTTGAATATGATCACCTCATTCAGCTTTTTGTTGTAGCAGAACATGCTATAACTGAATAAAGAATTTATTCCTTAGTAGCCATTAAAGACCTCAAAATATTTTTCCAAATGGAACCATGATGACCTCTAATCTCCTGGCCAGTATGAGACATTCCTTGCTGCTTCTCTTCCCTCTCCTAACATCTCAGTTAAATATTACTTTCTTTTTCCTCTGAAAAACTCAGCCATGTTGCAGCAAATTTCATTCTCTGCTTTGTTCAAGATGCTTCAACCCAAAGAATGCCACGTAAATGAGATGCTGCTACAAGTCATCAAGAGTCTGGTTGCATATAAGTAGAACTTTGATTTGTGGATTTGTTTGTTTTTTTTTTCAGAGCCAGAGCCTCAACTGTGTGGAAAAGACTAGATGTCAAGGATCTAATGTGAGTTCTGTGCAGATACAGGGTGATTCAGACTATTTCATCAACCATCTCGGAGTACCTGCCACGCAGTTTTCTTACGAGGACATCAAAACTTCAGAGGTAGCTACGAATAAAAAATGGACAAACTGAAAATAACAGAGAGATAGAATTATATTTTCTCAGGTTATATCCTCACATGACAAGCATGTAGTAGTGGAAAGTTATCTCCTGTAAGTGCATTTTTTAGTTCTCCAGAGGATTACCACAGAGCTTCAAAGGGACTGGTTTTGCAGGGATATGGTATTCAAAGAAACAGATAAAAATTGGAGGACGTTATGTTATTATGTTAAAAATGTTAATAATTCTGATAGTTTTATAGGTTACATATTATCTAACCCACCTTTTCAGACTGTTTTCAACATAGAGGAAACAGGTATTGATGCATAATTTTTTTACTGCACAGTAGGATGATACAGCCTTCAAAATGAATTTTATATCCATTTTCATATTGTGAGCAAAATACGATTCTCTAGTATAAATGTTGGTGGTAAAGATCTGTATGCTTGACTGGAGTCTTCGAAACACCATGTTCTATTTCAGTCCAGCAGCCTCTGCAAGGTAAGTGGAAGGAAGAGGCATTTTACACTGTTTGGGGACTGGGTGGGAATTGGACACAGATAAACTGTTAGGAAAGTTTGTCCTTCCTCAGCTTTCACTACTGTAGGTTATTTGCCCCTGGACAACTCACATGTTCTCTCAGTTGGTCAGCTGAAGATCAGGAAACTTGGGGTATTAGTTATTCCAAGATAAAACAGGCATGAGAAAAGGTGTGTGTTTTCTTGGAAATGTAATGATGCGCTGACTTCATATTGTCCTCATTTCTCTTTTGCACTGTACTCATCTCCATATGCACACATCTTTCCAAGTTCAGGAACAAAGCTGAAGCTGGGCTGAACTGGAATGCTTACTGACGCTGCATGCTAATGTTTCTCTTTCATAGATGCAAAACAAAGCAGAGATGTGCCAAATACAGAGCATTGCTGTCATGTCGTTGTGTAAATTGAAATAGATTAAGTCAAGAATTTATATAAATAAGGAGACTTCTGTGTTTTAAACTTCATGGCACCTATTAGGCAAAGTTTTCCATTTCAGATTAAACACAAGGCAAAGGCTGTAAGGAAAATGTGAAGGCGGAAGACTTATGAGTGCAATGTTTATGACAGGCTTTTGGTCCAGAGTGAATTTTTGTTGTCACTTAGCAGCTACTCCACGTAGTTTTCATTCAAGATCTGTGTATTTAGGATCTATAGTGCATGAGAAAGAATCTGCAAACTTCAGTATATCAAAATAGTATTTCCCAGCAACATTTGTAATATGAACATTGAAGGTTCCTTTGGCTATTGTCTACTTTAATCCACAGTTATTCTTCGTGTTCATTTAACCTTGTAAATATGCATTTTTGGTCCCACGGAATGACTCAGCAATGTAATTAAAATCATAAAAGGAAGTGTTTCTGTATTTGCTTAAACATGACACTGTAAATTTGGTTCTTTGTTAAAAACTCAGCTTTTGTCCTTGCAAAATCATTTCCTAGAAATAAACTTAGTAGGTGTAATCTGCAGCCTTGAAGTAGATGTGCTGCACTTCTCAGACCATAGGAGACCTTAACCCCATGAGATCTATTTGATGTGAGAAATAAATCTGCTTGGCAAAATGTGTAAATTTCTCTTGGTAAGAGGGTGGACCTTTTTCCTAAAAGTGAAGTTATTCAAAATTATTAAATTTGGATTATTTATTCTTATTATTTATTGCACTGATTGTTAACAGTCCAGAAGATAGGCTTGGTGTCTTTCCCGTATTCTATCAACAAACAAGCTTGTTTATTTTTAGTGCTTATTGCAATTGTTTATTGTGGATTCTGTTCATTGTATCAAACAGAGATATTACAAGGCAGATAAATTATTCTGTTTACAGCCATATTAATAAACATTGTTAGGAATTTCTGTTATGCAGGTTAGTGACTGATAATAATCTGTTGGTTTGCAGAGAGGGATTTTTGTTTGTTTGTTTCCAAGCCATTCAGTTTTTTTAAATTATGCCTCAGCTTGCAGAACAAGATTGGGGAGAGCAGATTTCAGAAACGGGCTGTTTTGACATGCTTTTGTAGACTATCATTTTGCCAGGTTGGTTTGCTTCGCTCTCCTTTCCACTGCTGTGACCTGCTCAGGAATTGGTCTTCCTTTGGAATATACATTAGTTGTTTATCTTACCCACCTGTCAGCCAGCATGCAGTGTCACGTAAAACTGATGCTATTCCACAGTCAAAAAAACCTTTTTTAGAGTAAAAAAGCCCGAAGACCTGTGCTTGTATCCTGCCTACAGAGCAGCAGCTGCAGGTCAGCTTTAGAAATGCATTTCTTACGCAGCCAGTGCAGTACTGGTCTGCAGAGAGAAGGTTATAAAAGCCTTTCATTGACAGGAACCTGAGGAGTAAATAAGAGGAAATAAAAGTTGTAAGAGGAAACGTTCAGGCCAGAAGAGTAAGTAAAACTGTCTGGCTTGAAATTGCATAATACAGTGACCCACAGCCTCAGGGAGGTTAAATCTACCTGGCAAATGCCCGTGGTCACATCTGTGAGCCAGTAAAGTGCATTTTGAGAATTCAACCACTGCTATAAAAATGCACTGAGTGAAATGCAGCTCATTTATTCGCTAGCAGGAAATATGCAGCATTTTAGTTTCAAAGTAAGTAAACTTGGAAGAATTTCTCAAGTGGAAAAAACCATAGTATTACACCAGTTTCCAAGGATTCTCTTGCAGTTGCTGAAGAAAGCCTTCCTCTCCTTATAACCTCTGGTGCACTGGCTTTTACTCCACGTGACGGTCACATTCTGATTTGTAATGTTTTAGGAGAAAGGCTGATCAGATTTTCCTACTACTGCTGATTCTCTTACTTTCAGGAGGAGTCATACTATTAAAGGTAACGGTTCATTTGCATCCTAGTGACTATGTAGAGCCTCCAGAGAGAGACATAATGTTGACTTTAAATCAGAGTTGCTATTACTGAAGGCCATGATTCTATTAGTCTTCACCGCAGCAGAGAATAGTATTAGAAACATATTCACTTAGCTTTACATCAACAAGGAAGAGCAACATAAACGAAAAGAGATCTTAGATCACAGTCTTGTCCTAATTACTCTCTGTACTGCAGTAAAAGCTGGATATTAATCAAATTAATCATATGAGCATCAATACATCTGTAATAACAAACTTGGAGCAAGTGAGTAAATTCTGATTTTTTTTTCCATATATAGATTATTTCTTTTCTCTTGAATGCTTGTATGACAATGTATTTTCAAACCAAAAAATGATGTAACAGGTATAATACATACACATCCTCCATAATGACAGAAAATATATGCATATGATAGACAAAAGTGCAGGTTTGGACACATCACTGTTCTTCACAACTCTGCTTAGTGTCTTAGATGTAAATTCTTCACCTGTGGTGTTTCAATTTTGTAAACAAAACATGTCATCTACATGACTAAAACTCAACTCTTGGTTACCTGATTCTAAATTAGGAATAACTCTGAAAACACTGGGTATGGTGGTGTATGATCTGAAGAACACGTATTCAGTTTCCATTTGAATTTATCTTAGTTATTTTTGAATGGATATACATGGATCGTGTGCCTGTGTAATAGAAAATACTGCTCTATCACTTATAGCTTATGTTGTTTCTCTTCCCTTACACATCTTTTTTTATCCTTCTCTGGTGTTTTTTGACATTTTTTAAATTTGCATTTTAGCGGAAATTCTAGTATTAAATGGTTTATTTCAGTTGTGAGAGTGATGACTGTGTTCTTCCATATGAAGTGACATTCATGCAGACTAAACTCTGCTCTTGTGAATGATTGACACAATACAAAAAAAAAAGCATTTAAAATTATCAAAACTTTACAGCACTAAAAGTTTCATTAGTCAGATCTGTGGCTGTGGTAACAGCCTAACTTGTATGAAATTTCTTATATCTGGAGACATGAGTGAGAAAGAAACATGAATCCATGTCTTAAAATGTTGTTTGGCATAAATCCTTCATTTCATTTTTACACTGCATTTATTATATAAAAACAGCATAGTCTTGAAAATTTTTTGTTGTTTCCTGTCTCTAGCTAAAGTTTTATATAGTTTTATTTGTTGGAGAGACTCAATACTTCAGAAGTTTATCCATAACTCCTCTTTACACTGCTTTTATTTCTCTACCTTATTTCTTTAAGCTTTGCCTTGTTTGTTCGGGGTTTTTTTTTCATACGAGCATCATCTCTATAATTTTCTGTCCTTCCAGTGGAGCACCTTAAAAATGTAGTTTGCTCTACTGGATTCAACATTCCTATGGCAACACTTGCCTTTTTATTTTCATGAGAAGGGACAGAGAAGAGTAGCTTTTAAAACCTCTATATTTGGAAGTGTATTGTGTAATGAGAAAACAACCAACCCCCTAGTTGCAAGTTAATTTATTTTGGTTGTTTTTTTCACAGCACAGTTTATAGCATAGCTGCTGAAGTCCTGGAGCATAAGTATATCACAGAGACTGAGAAAAAGAACCTTGCTGTGGCTGCCTAATGTTTGGGTGCAAGAGAAAATATAAACTGGATTTTCCATAGTTTCAGTTAGAGATTTGATTGTTTCTTCATCATTGTAAATCAAACAACATTGAGCGGTTTAGTATTTTGAGGCTGATTCAATCACTTGCAAACTTAAGCTGGTACAGGTGTATTTTGAGCCTTTTTCAGGATGGAAATTGGATGTTATTACCCATTTTTGTGTCATTGCAGTCAGCAGTTTCACGAGGAATCAGGTGGTTTTTAAATTATAGCTAGATGATTTCCTATGCTGTCTGCATAATATTCATCCTTCTTGGAGCATCCTATTACATAATTATTCCTATCTAATAACACAGAATCTTAAATCCCCTCTGTGATATTGTGGTAGGTTATATCAACATTAACATTATCATTTTGTTGTTAATAAAACCAATTACTGCACATGCACATTATTAAAAAAAAACCACACCTTTTTTGTTGTTGTTGTTATGTATTGATGAACACATATTTGGC